CCCAGTCCACAGGTCGACAGTCTATCCACTAAGCCAAACCAGCCAGGGCTCACTGAATATTTCTTGCCAATCCTTTCTGACCTGAAAAGTTTCTGTTGAAAAATCAGCTGACAAATCCCTGTTGTAGTTCAGCCTTGATTGCTGTTGGCAAGTCAATGGGAGGGATTTATTCCCCAGCCAATCAGCTGCAAGGACTGGCTATGACAACTGACCTCTGGGCAGCAAATAGGATGTAAGTTGGTTAGCATTATACTTTGGTTATATTAATCTGCTACTGTTGATAGCAACTGATTAGTTCTAACTCTTGATTACAGCACACTTGCACTTCAAAAGTTGGGCAGGTATGTATAGCTGACAGCAATGGTTATCCAGTTGTTTTCACTAAATGCAACATTTTTAAAAACTCATGGGATAATAGTTTTCTCAAGAAAACAACAAAACTGTCCAGTTTTCTTTCTACTAAATGGATTTCTGAATAGACAGTGTTTGTTCTTTTTTAGAGCTGGGTTTATATTTTGATAGTCTAAGAAATATTAAACAGTCATCATTTTTTTTCTGCAAATATATTGAGATAGGGTATGTGGTGAAATGGCTGTAACTCATAAGGGCTACCAGGATTATCTCAGAGATAGTAAGACACTCCCCCTCCCCTCCCAACAGATTTATGGCTTAGAACCAGCAAGAGACTAGCTCAATCCAACACAAGTGACTAATTCTACCTTGTGGTAACCCCTAGCCTCATTATTTGCTCATTGCAATACATGAACATATTGAAAGACATACTGCAGTGATAGGAAGCAGAGAGCCCATATAAAGACACAGAATGAACAACCATGCTCTTCCAAGAAGTCTCCACCCGTTCCCAGAAAATTTCTGAATATTCCTCCCCCTCATTGAATGCCCTATCCCTCGATTAAATGAGCCTCAATGAATGAAGTAAATCCCACTGGGGGCAGAGGAAAGGCTGTTCTTTCTGTGGAGTAGCCTTCTGTCTATCTCACTGCTTCACTAATAAGCTCTCTTTC